GAGCCTGAGAACTAAAAGATCTGCCTCCCATTCTACTTTTAGAAATTCTAGGAACATAACAACAAAATTCCCTCCTGATATCTAATGAGATCTCAGAAACTTTTCTGCCCTCTGTGAACTGGTGGAGACCTCTCAGTCAGCAGATCTTCATCACCCTGACAGCTCTAAAAGCGCTGGGATGTGTCGCCTCGTTTGTTGCCTTTAATTGCAGCATAAATCCTGGAGCCTCCGACACACATCTGGGAATCATCTGTCTCCAGCTTGGCAAACAGAGACATCAGAGATGGTTCTGCTCGTGTTTCATTTCCAGAATGTTGCTTAACTGTCCTACATGTTGGAGGACATCTCAGCATCTGTGTTTCTCAGTGAACGTGGGACAAATCTCCACACAGAGGCCGGCGGATCGATTAGTCGTGGAGTTTAGCTGGGATCTTGTTTATTTATCAGCTACGTATCGTTTAGATTTAAAGTCTTTATGACGTAAAGATGAAGCAGCTGCAGATGAAGTTCTGGTAAACATGGAGCTGCAGGGCGATGAAGATGTGATCATGATTTATTGTCTGATTTGATCTCACTTGGAGGTAATTTGGTCCACATGCAGCCCCTTAGTGGGGATTAAGAGAGCGCCAAACGTCTGCATCTGGAGCGTCTATCAATCAGAGCATCACCATCCTGCAGCCCCTGCTTTAATGCTTGATCTTATCAAACTCTACCAGAGGTCTCACTGATCCTTCAGTTACGATTCAGGACATGAATTATGGGGCGCCGTTTGTAAAGTTAAGCCGTCAGAAATTAGGAGCAATATTTATGGTTATTTAGTCTGTTTAAAAGGAAAAATAAGGGGCTTATTTTCTTCATTTTTCACTATGTCATTATTCATTTATGAAAAATCTTACTTTCTTAAATAAATATTTAGCTGCAAACTAAATATTTAGCTTGGTGCTACCTAAATAAATAGTGAATATGCAAATTCCCTTCCTGAAAAGTAAAAAAAAAAATTATTATTTTTACTAAATATTTAGTTGGTTAAATAAATATTTAATTTTGAGGTAAATATTTATATAACAAACTAAATATTTAATTTGTAAACTAAATAATTATTCAAGAAACTACATTTTTAATTAGCAAAGTAAGATTTTTATAAATGAATGAATGAAAAAAAATAACCCTCTTATTTTTCTCTTAAAATACGCTAAATAACCGTAAAAATTGCTCCTAATTTTTTACTGCTTAATTTTACAAAAAGGCGCCTCAGATGAAATATCTTCCAGACACAGTTTGGACTTTTCTGATCCAAACTCATCAGTTTGTCTGAGCAACAGAAGCAGCTTTTGGTTTCATCCAAAGTCCACATGTGAGACATCGTCCTGCCGTCCTCTGAGCCGGACCAGAGACAGACCACTGTGGCGATAATCTGGGCTCTAGAGGAAGATGCTGTAATCTGAGCAGAATAAAGGATGACATCATCCTGGAAGGCCTGATGTCATCAGTGACGACGAGCGAATCGGTTCTGTTCACAGAAACTTGGCTGTTTGATCCTGGATCAGATCCTAACCCGAAGCTTTGCTGCGTCTCTCCACCCATTCTATGGCGAGAAATTTGTCCCATTATTATATGAAGTAAAGGAAAAATCTCAAGAAATTAAATTTGAAGAAAATCGATTTATGAAAAAGTATCTTAATTTTAAAAAAGGTTTTGAGGTATAATTTATATTTGCAAAAGTCCAACCAATATGATAACAGTTTGTTTTGTTTATTTTGTATATTTTAGAATATTTTTTCTCTTCACATTTAGTTTTTTTCCCGCTTTTTGGGAGACTGAGTTTTACATTTTTTGACCCTTTCCACCTCTGAGACTGAGCTTGGCCTTGAACCAAATGCTGTTGCTAACGTCCGCCCAGAGCCGACTAAAATCTATCTCCACCCCAAAAAATGAAAAAAAATATATAATACATCTAAAATAGTTTAATAAAATATTTATTTTTTATTGTGTTGTAAGGAAAAATCTGAATAAATTGCTAACTTTAAATACAGTTTAAACGTTTACACGTTATAAATTACTTTCGCAAACTTATTCTATTGACAAGCTTCTTCCATTTCTGTTAAATTTCCTTTTTTTAAACGGATTCTTTGCCGCCAATAATACTGGTACAAATGTGCCTCTTTATCAAATATCCATTATTATATTTTTGTTTTTATATAATCATCCTATTTTCATCGGTCGCTTTTCATTTCTTTGTTTGTTTATTTTAAATTTGCTCTAAAGATAAACTTGCCTTCATGCAACTGTAGAAACAAACTCACTGGTGAGTAAAGATGCGTTCAGGGAAGCTCGGATATAACGGCGACCTGCTGTCTGTGGTTCTCTGCAGGGTGGGCCTGGATCTGCGGGAAACAAAGGACAAGTGGGAAAGCTTGGAGCGACTGGACTGAAGGTGGGTGGCTCCCTTTGGTTCCTAAAACACCCGTTTGATCAGGAAATGGACCCGATCACGGGTCAGCTGCCCACATCAGAGTTTAGTTTATGGAACAAACTAAAAACCAACGGCTGCTGCTGTTCCAGGGCCAATCAGGAGACCCAGGTGACCCAGGAGAAGCAGGACCACAGGGAGCCAGAGGAGCACCGGTATGAGACCCCTGCTGGTTTAAAGAGGGTGAACCCAATGTGGTTCTGGCTCTGACAGTCAGAGTTCTGTTTCAGGGTCCGGATGGCAGCGATGGTTTCGGACCTCCCGGATCTCCAGGTTCAAAGGTAGAGCTGATCTCTGAGACGTCAGGAGCTCTGGATGTTTCTCATCCCTTCGTTTAACTGGAGGAAATGTTTGTTTTCCAGGGAGATGCTGGATTCCCTGGTTATCCCGGCCTGCTGGTGAGTCTGATTCCAATGACTCCAGATCAGATTAAACCAGATTAAATATCACTGCCGTTAATCTCATCCTGGATCTGGAGTTCGTTATCTGCTGAGGCCGTTCAGTCAGAGCATCAGTCTCACTGCTGGGATCTTATAGAGCCTGATCCAACATGGAGGAAGATCTGCTCCAACGCCTGATGCTGTGATCGAGCTCAAAGTTCAGCTCGCACAGATGGAAATGAACCAGCTCACGTTAATAGTTCACTTTTTCAACAAATTAAATTTCCCAAACCTAAAAATGAACTAGTTTTAGTTCATTTGGTAAATGAAGCCTCAATCTTCCTCAATAGAACCTCATATTTAAAGGAAAAGTCTGGTC